CAACAGAACAACCTGCTACGCCTCCCCCAATGCGACATCCTGATGTTCGAGGTGATGGTAAGAAAGATGAGAAGAGAGAGAAGCCTGCAGAGAAACCGAGTGAGGAAGGACATGAAGTTTGAGATGAAGAAGCAGAAGAAGTGATTCGATATGCTCTAACTCATCCGCGCTCAGACGATGAAGCAGAAATTCGTGGAGGAGATTCTTCGAGAGGCGGGGCATCGTCCAACGTGGCCCAGATGGAATTCCCCTACCCCCTGCACTACCTGTTCAACGACCACGTGTGGAGAGTGAGAGAAGCGCAGCCAGTAAACATGACATTGAGCAAGATAATGAACCAGCAAAGTTTGTGAAATTCGATCCAGACACACCCGTTGCAGAACCCAGTCCGAAATCAGTGAAGAGAGACGAGAGCAGTCTTAGCTGCGAGAAAGGTGACCAAGATTGACGACATCGAGCTTTACCATGAAGATGAAGTACAAGACTATGAGTTGACGAGGATGACTTGGTAGCCGATGAGTGGACTACATGGAGTGGTCAAGCGAAACAACTTTCTGAAGGAAAGAGATGTCGTGGATTCTTTGATGAAGGTGCGGGACCACCAGAGTTGACATCAGAAGAGTTGGACGCCTTGGATCAGATCGCCTGTTGGAAGTGATCCGAGACTTGAAGCTGGAGGAGGATACTTCTACAGCATTGTTCTTGGATACTGTACTCGAATTGTGAAAGGTTGGAGATTTCGAGGTGATCCTGGCCGATGGGTTGGAAAGATCGAGGATGGTGGCCCGTGATGGCCCGTGAGTTCAAAACAACAGAAGGAATCATGAGACATTTTCACCGACAACACCGTTGCCTGCCGTCAAAAACATCGCTAGTTCTTTCTTTGGTGCAACAACTCTATGTGGCAGCGCTTGATATTAGCAACGCATTCCTCATGGTTGATCAGCAAGAACTTGTAATCATTGCAATTCCTGAGTGGGTGAAGAGCGCATTGAAGCAGCCAGACCTTGAGTACTGGCGCCAAGCAAGATGCCTACCTGGACAACGCAATGCAGCTTGGAGGTGGTGCGAGTTCTTCGGCAACATATGGAGTGAGATTGGCTATGAGAGCTTGTCAGGTGGAATGCTCTATGGACGCAAGGACAAGGAGAGCGACCTGAGCGTGCATGTAGGCGATGCGCTGTTCATTGTTTCGAAAGAAGACATTCAGGAGTTTTGTGACCACATGAAGAGCAAGAATCTAACCCTCAAAGTGGAAGGACCTCTTGGTGGAGAAGAAAGTGGAATACTACATTACCTTGCGAGAGAGAGAGATTGAATTCACAGACGAAGGACTCTGTATCATGCCCAGCGGGAAGTACATTCCCCATCTTCTCGGGTTACTACACCTCGAAGACAGGCGGGGCAGAGCAACCCCATCGCATCATGGTTTGGAAGTCTATAACAAGGAGAACACAATGGATGAGGAGTATTTGAACGACAAGGGCGCCATGACTTTTCGAAGCGGGCTCGGAGGTTGCCTCTTTATTTCCCAAAGAGGCTGGATATCCAACATTCAGTACGAATTCTAGCTTCCAACATGGGGAGACCGACATCTATTGCATTCTCAGCGTTGAAGAAGCTGGCACAATATTTGTCAGCGACAAAGGACATGAGATTGCACTATCCAAAGCCAGGATTGAGAGGCTCTGGTTTTGGCCGATGGCATCATGAAGGTGAGCCCAACATGCAGCTCAAGCCATATGACAATGAGTTGGAACTGTTCAGCGACAGCGATTGGCCATCACGCAAAGTATCTCAAAAGTCAACGTCATGTGGATTGACTTTTCTTTGCGGTTGTTGCATCTATGGCCATTGTAGAGCACAGACATCAGTGTCTTTGTCAAGTATGGAGGCGGAGATCTTGGCGCAGGCCTACTTTCAGAAGGCATTCAAATCAAGCAGTTCATCCAGTTCCCGGTGAAGGACGGTGGCCTTGAGTGCAATTCAAAGGTGCGTATGAAGCTGTACTTTGACTCCACAAACGCGCAAGCTTTCTACGAGCGACTTGGTCCAGGACGTGCAAAACACCTGGCTACGCGCGTGCTGTGGGGACAGATGTCGAAACTTGGTATGACATTGGTGGGAGACCCAACACAATCCAGCAGACTTGAACACCAAACCATTGTCTCGTGAACGACGTGAATATCTCTGCAAGAAGATTGGCTTTGGTTCAGCATTCTTTCAGGACCATGGCCTACCCCTGCACTTGGGCAAGAAAATGGTTCGATTGATGCAGTTGATGACAGCTATGAGTTTGAAGGGGTGTGCAAAAACAGACAACCAATCAGCTGTAATTGCATCATGGACGGTGACAGTTGTAGTATCATTGCCGGCGCGTTGTGGAGACAGTTGATTCAACAAGAAATGGAACTGACGCAGTTCAAGATCATTTTCAGTGAACTACGTGCAAGAGACAACCGGACATTAGGCAACTTGATCGAAATGGATCGACTCGCAGCAATAGAAGCTGATGTTGAGAGAGAGAGGATTGAAGGTGCTACCTCAACATCAGAACAAGAAAATGAATACCAACAAGCTGGAACAAGATTTCCTCAGAGGACTATGCAAGATGATCGAGAACATTTACTACGTACCAGTGCTGGAATTGACTTCACACATCTTGAACAACCAGAACAAGGAGAAAATCCAGATTGCGCAATACCAGCTATGAGAAGGAGATCCCATAAAAAGTACCGCAGTCGGCGGTATCAAGCTTCAGGTCTTGACGAAGCCAGCGACCCTGAAGAGTGGATGAGTTTACATCATTAGAAAGCCATGATGAGCTCCAGGTTTCTGTAAAGTGCAGCTTTTGTCCAAATAGTGACCGCTGCAACCGTGTACAAGATTTACAAATCTTGAGGCGGGGTGTCAATCATTAGCAGTATGAACATGACCCCTTGCATGAAGACAGTATATACACAACCGCCCCTGTGGCTCAAGCGATTCGCTAGAGAAAATAGCGCGACCTTTCTCTTTGTCATTGATATAGAATACGTTTATCTTGCAGGTGGTCAACATTGGTCAAGAATTCTAGTGGACTGCTCACACCCCCACACATACAGGCTCGAGTACAAGGGAAAAAGGTCTGGTCATTTGAGCTCGTGCCATTTTGCGATGTGACTTATTGTCGAAAAGATTGTGTCCAGGGCTTGGCGCGATTCTGTGTTTGAGCGGGCTCGCCGTCGTTGGTCTGAGCAGCTTGGCTGTCAAAAACTGTGTTTAGGGCTGGGCTTTTTGGATCTGGTTGGATTCAATCTTCGATTTGCATGAAAACTGTTTGAGGTCTGTGCTGCGCTGTGAAGGTGTACTTTTTGGGCTCCTTTTGTCACCCTTCAACAATGTGTTTTTTCGCCTTCCCTTTTTTCCACCCTCGAAACCTTTTTTGCGCCCTCAAGATTCCTTTTTTCACAATCCTTTGGCGCCTTTTTTCACCCTTCTAAAACATTTTTTCACCCTGCGCCCTCTCATTTTCACCCTGTAGCATGTTTCTTTCAACCTTCACCTTGTTTTTTCATCCTTCACCCTTTCTTTTTCGCTGCAAAACCCTTAGTTTTCACCTCCAGAACTTCTTGTGACTAACCCTTCGGAACGCTCTGGAAACTGCGCAGAGACTATCCGGAACGACGGGAACCGCCGGAAACTGACCCGGACGCCTCCACAATCCATCCACCAACGGAGTGCCCACCAACCGACCAACCAACGAAGAAACAACGCGGCCAAGCCAACGAACCAAGCAAGCAACGAACAAACCAAGCAACCAAACAACATAACTCTGTGTTTTCCCCAAGTGCTGTAGATTCGATACTAGAAATCCTTCGCGGGGGGAGGATTGGTTTGCCTTGCGGGGAAGGCGCTGCGCCCTCCCCATGGACACATCATCCATCCATCCATCCATGTATCAACGGCGCGCCGACCAAGCGACAAAGCGACGCAAGCAACAAACCCACCAAGCAACCAACAAACCAAGCAACCAAACAACATAACTTTGCCGCCCCCTCCCGCCATTATATATACAGTTCACCCATCCATCCACCCGTCAAACAAGCAAGCAAGCAACAAAACCAAACAACCAAAACCGCGCAACCCCAAATGCTGTCGATACTTGGTTTGCATCGCCTTCCCCCGCGCCCCCTCCCGCCTTTATTTACACGGCTGTGTTTTCCCCAATGCTGTTGCTACTTGGTTTGCGTTGCGGGGGAGACGCTGTGCTCTCCCCCACACCCCCTCCCGCCATTGTATTTACAGAGCATCCATCCATCCACCCATCAGACAGCAAGCAAGCAACAAACCAAGCAACCATCCATCCATCCAACCAACCAACCAAGCACGCAAGCAGAACAAATTGCATATCCATCAAGCGCTGTATCACGCAAGCAAACCAACCAACCAACCAACCAACTCAACGCACCAAAAAGTAACATCACTGTATGTGTTTTCCTCGATGCCAAGCAACCGACGAGCCAAGCAGGCCAAACCAACCAACACACCAACCAAAGGAAGTCGGGTAAAAAAGAAAGGGTGGGTAGTCTACCAAGCAACCAGTTAGGTGCCGTGATGGGAGTCCCACCTTGGACTAAAGGCTGAGACTTCCAGCTTGGAATATGTGGGCTGTGATTGGGTTTCCACGTTATTAGAAAGCTGGGTGCTGCTTGGTGGTGTGGTCGGACTCCCACCTTTGAATTCTGGATGCTGGTGTGCTTCCCTGGGTGCTGAGGTGCTGTGATCGGGTTCCCATCTTGGAACATGGGTGTTGTTGGGAACGTCGCCCCAGAATGTCCTTCAAGAGTGTCTTTGAAGATTGTCAAGCAAACGTTTGGCCGTTTGTGTTTGCGTACGTGCGTGCATTCGGGTTCGTGGGTTCCATTTTCTGTTTTTGCACGGCACTGCCTGATTTGACGGTTTCTTGCTTGATGCACTTTGAGCATTTCGGAACGGTTGAATGAATCAGTCTGATGCAGGCAGACAGTGTGGATTCACAAGGTACGTCCTCGAGCCTCCCTCGCACTCCGAAGGGGCCAGATGGTCAACCATCTGAAATGCGAAACTCTGGGGCAAGACACGTTGCTTGGCTGATCAGGTTGTTTGTTCTCCGGCACCTTTTTCATTTCAGGTGGGCCAAAGGCAGCACACCTAGACAACGTTCGGGCAAACATTGTTTCTGATCTACCACAAATATAGGTTTTATATGGCTTTATTGCAAGCAGGTGCCCTAATCTATGTTTGTATGTACACATTGACGATATTTCAATTGTTGATAATTGTTGACAAACATACATCAAGAGACAGTCTTGTAAGCAATCGTATAAAGACGTTGGCAGGAATCAATGGTTTGGAACGTGTGGGGTGTATTCAAAGTTTTCAAGTGACTATCACACATTAAATGTTTGAGTGCAGCTGGCTGAGATTTGTGGCTATGCAAAAACTCTGCAGGTCAAAGACATTGAAGACGTTGAAGAATCCGAAGAAAGTGCCACATTCCTGCTCTTGCTAGATGCCATTCCTGCACTTGTCATTCTTGCAAGCGCGGCAGTTGCCGGTATCAATGCAGATTACGCCGTGAATCATTGGATATGGGATGTCCTCGAGGCGCTGTTCACTGCTTTTTTCACCGCAGAGATTTTGGTGAAACTCAAGGTGTTCGGCTGCAAAGGCTTCTTCTGGGGAGCCGATTGGTATTGGAGCTGGTTTGACCTTCTTTGTGTTGTCCTTGCATTGGTGGAAATGATCATCACGTACACTGGCCGTACACTGGGCGCTGTGGGTATATTGAAGATGCTCAAGCTAGCGCGATTGGGCCGTATCATCCGTTTACTAAAGTTCAAGATCTTTCAGGAGTTGAAGCTCATGATCCAAGGAGTATTTACCGGACTTCGTGTTTTGTTTTGGGCCGTGGTTTTATTGCTGGGTTGCGTCTACTTGCTGGGTGTGGTTACAAGGACAATCTTTACTGACAGGCCGGAATTCAACAGCGTGGGGCAAGCAATGTTCACATCTTTCCGCTGCTTCACAGACGGGTGCTCCACCTATGAAGGTGCCCCGCTTCAGGACAGTGTGGGTGAAAGAGGCCTCAAGTGAAAACGCTGGCACGCCTCCAATGGGTATGCGACATGATTTTTAGCTGCTTTGTACATGTATCTACCATAGGATCATAGGTGTGTGTTTTGTGTTGCTTTACTTGCAGAAAATGCAGTACGGAATTGCCTTTTGTCGCCTTTGTGCCTTGACCACCTAGCAAGTCATGTTCATCGATTGACACCGATTCTTTGTATATATGCGCATACAATAGTATTGACTGAAACATGTGCAATCAAAGCAAATGAATGAAGATGAAAGGAATAGGGGCAAGAACTTGCAGTTGAGTTCATATCTCCACACACTTTGTTTTGTCAGGAGAAATTGTTTGAGGAGCACGGTGGCCTTTTTATGCTGGTCTACATTCTTCTATTTTTGTTTGTCACCATTGGCATTTTCAATTTGATCATGGCACCTCTTTTGCACAGGAGATTTGAAGCGCAGTTAATGGGTCCATACCCATACCTACCAGTTTCTTAATTGGGCATTTTGGGTGAAGGTGAACGCTGAAGAAGAGTAAGTTCTAAGGCCAGCTGCTTCAGGTTCAACTGCAGATTCTTAGTGCATGTCAATTTGTTTGATTTAGTGCAAAGCCAAGGCAGTGTTCATTGACAACGTCACGGATGGTAGCACAAAGAAGCGACAACGGGAGCTAGGTCTTAATGCACCCCGGACTGGCTGGGTGATTGCTTCTGAGCTGCGAGCCTTGATTCATGTTTGCCGAGACTTGCAATGAGCTGTACATTATTCATCATTCCAGAATTGAAACAATCGGTCTGATCAATCTGAACCCGAAAAGCAAAGCTAGAACTTGTCCAAATCAAAATCTTCGTTAAGCCCCAGAAACAAAGGCACGTTTGCTAGCTTGCCAAAAGGTTAGCACAAGTTGACACTGGACGTTACAGAAGATGTGATCTCAGCATGTGGCAGCTGCAATTCTTTTGTCTCATACAGATTTGACAGTACATGTCCCTTGCATGGTACAACTGGGTTGGCTTCGTACTCCAGAGAAAAAGGGTAAGATTCCGGACATGATGTTGGGGCGGTAGTCGACCTGAGCAATGCATATTTTGAGCGGCCGAGCTTTCGATCGTTCCTGGCAACATGTGCGGTAACTTTGGGATATTTGACACCGGAGCAATGTCCCAGGTTCATCCATCCACGGATAGCATGTCGGCCACGAATGCCCAAGACCCCCTCAGGGCTGCATTAAACGTTTGTGAGGAGGAATAGACTGTTTGTTTCTTGCAAGTTGGTTGGCCCCTGTGAAAATGATGATATATATAAATCATGAAAATTGTGTATGTTACGAAAGCCAGCCGATAGGCTAGGCTGAAGTTAGTGCTGCGAACAAAGTTCGTTGTTAGAGGGTGTGGGGGGGAGACGGGGAGAAAGTGACTTAAACAACGTTAGCCTGCTGGTGTTTATGGATTGCCAACAAAAGATGCAAGGTGATGGAGGCATTGCATCACTAGCATCATTGCTACCCAAGAATAGTGCATATGGCTAGTCCACAGGCAGTCTATCGTATGCCTCGTACTAGTCTGAGACGAGTGCTATGATTTCCGGAGACCATTGCTAGTACTGAGGAGATGCCGCGCAGAATCCAATGACAAAAGCCAAATGCCACTAATAAGGACAGGCTAGGGATTTGGTCAAGCCAGACACCATGACCATTCAGCCAAGGGGTTCGCCACAACCGGGGGCTCAAGGCACAGCATGAGCGCAGAAAAGCGGCGGTCACACGCTGGCTTTTGCGTGGTGAGTAGTAGGCAGTCAGCTTTACACTGGCAGCGGAGCTTTGACTCCGGGGACCCTTTCTTAGGTTTGGGTAGAGCCCCCAATTTCTCCAGGACTTTCAAAGAATCCTCACGTGACCATTGGTTTCTTCAGCCTATTCGCTTCGGTCGCCATGTCGATCGTTGATAGCCTCAAATGGCAAACCTTTGCTGCCACCCAGGAAGAATCTTGGAGCACCGAGGCTAAGAGCGCAGTCCCTAGGTCCCTAGGTACGATGGCGATGTCGCGAAGTCGACCGAGTACCAGTTCAGGGTGCGCATGCGGCAAGCCCGCGAGAAGGCCATGGACGAGGGAGAACTTCGCAAGCTGGGGCCGCTGGCGCTTCAATTGATCGAGGGGTTGCGAGTTCCTGCGCTGCTAGTAGCCCACTACCAGTTGATCAACTCACCAAAGAAGAACCGACATCCCTCCTCCTGAAGAGCTGCAGTCGACCCTTCAGCCCAGGTCGAAGCAGGAAGCCCGTGACTTGTACCAGATCGGCGCTCAGCAGGGAGGAGTTCTCAGACGGCAGATGGGAGCTACGTTCTTCGTCGACGAGCTTGGTACACCTTGATGTTGGACATGGATCCCTCATTGAAGCTGCCTGAAGGTATCTTGGCGGAACAGACACTGCAGAATGCCGGGATATCCTAAGACCATCAACTCCTCATTTGAGGCGCAGCACATGGCGAGATAGAAGGTGTGTGAGGAGACGAGAATGACATGATGCTCGAAGAGGGCATTGATGAAGCTGATGGCTTGGACTATGCCTCAGAGATAATTAACTCAAGCAGAAGCCGAACCCTATTTCTTGCGGTCTCGCGCAGGGCAGAACGGACATCATGGATTTGGCAGCGGCGGTGGAGCACGCCAGTTCCAAGCGCAAGGACATGGCCATGGATGGTTGAGACTGCCTCCTACCTCCAGTACCTTTGAGGCCCACCACTTGGTTGACAAGGTTTTTGATCTCCTTCGGCGCCAGATGCCCAAGCACACCACTGAAGCCCTTCAAGACCAGGTCGAGCAACTCCTCAAAAAGAACGAGAAGCGCAAAGCTGCAGAGAAAGGCCAGGGTGCAACAGACTGGACACTGGGCAAACGATCCACAATGCCCCAAATCCTTCCGCAAGGGCAAAGGAAAAGGTGGTTCGACCTTGACGGCAACATCACCCAAGTCCAGCGAGGGCGGCAAGCGTGGCAACCACGAAATCGTCTTCTGCGGCCATGAGCTCTGGTTGATAACCAGTGACCTTCATGTACTTCTGCATCCATTCCGAGCCATGACAGCTGTTGTTGCAGCCGGCGACCAAGATCACATAGATCTCGCCTGAGTCTTCTTCATCCTCGTGATCTGATGAAGTGCTGGTCTCTTGGTCAATGCGAGCCAAGCAGTATTGAGCGAACAGCTTCAAGAGAAATAACCCGGTCAAGATGAAGAGCCTGGATGACAAGTATGTGCCTGCAAACATGACGTCGGTGGAGTTGGCCAACTCAAGTACTCCACTGCCCAACAGACACTGGGTCACGCTCAATATGGCTGAGTACACGGTCTACTCAAAGACCTTGGACAAAGAGCTTGAGTTGGTCAGCTTGAATGGACTTCCAGCGCTTCGCCTCTACCCAGGTGATGAGAACCTTGAGGCGTTGCCATAATGTTGGAGCCCAGGACTTCGGAGGAGGATGAAGAGATGAGCAATGTCACAGATGGCAATGAGACTGAGAGCCAACAAGACGAAGACGCCCGACAAAGAGGCGTCCAATGAGACCGATGATGAGTTAGCAGAAGAACAACATCTTCCACAACAAGATGCCAAGAAGAAGGTGTTGACACGAGGGCAGAAGAAGATTCTCGCAGAGTCGCTCGAAAACATGCAAAAGGAAGACTGTGCTACGTGGAGTGTGCTCCAAGGAGGAGTCAAAAGACACGTCGCATTCTTCCTAGAGGTTGTCGTTCATTCCTCATGGAGATGTTGGCAGGAGAGACAACACTATCCTGCTTGGCAGCGGCGATGGGACTGACCGTGGCATCCCCGGCGGAATGGACAGGTTGAGGAGTCTCCACTTTGCGGCCGCGGTCACCCCTGGCAGCGACTGAATATGACGAGAAGCGAGGAGACCTACCACAAGGCGACGGAGGACAGAAAAGCCTGGTGCCCAGTTCTCACATGGCAACGCAGGTGATTGAGAGACGACTGAAGTACTGCTTGAGAATCCATGGCCGTCCCTATTGCGGGAGCTAAAAAGACAGAGAGAGTGTCAACTCTTTGCAACGGTGCTCATGTTCATGAACAACTTGAAGGGAACCGCGCCAAGAAGGCTCAACAATGGCCAGAGATTCCACGCAAGGAGATCATCGACGGACTACGCCCCCGCATTATAGGGTACTGGCTCTTGGTCCCGTGTGACTCGCAGGATTGCGAAATCCTACGAAGTCTATATCGGCTTACCTGCCTATTTGCCTCCAGCAACTACCTTCAGTACTTAGAACGCGCCCCTGTTTCCACGTTGGCTAGCAGAAGAAGCTACGTACCGCCTGACTCTCAACCACGGAGCCGGATTCAATTAAGCACATGGCCCCTCCGTCCAGGGGACGTTTGCAGATGGCAGTGAAGGTTACCTCACTGCTTCACCAGAAGAGTTGCAGCAGCTTACGGAACATTGCTGAAAGAACTACGCGTATATACTTTCTATTTGTAGAACACGCCTCGTACCAGTCACTTGCGGAGACTAGTGACTACCCTTATGGTTCCCCAAGACCACGGTTTTCAGTTTCAATACCTTGGGTTGACGTTTCAACACGTATATATATATATATATAGGACCACGAAAGTGAACCGCATTTCTTGCATCACGCTATGCTCCTGCGTTCTGGTGTTGTGGCCGTTCGTTGCCCCGGTAGCCGGTATTTTTGTGGCTACTACCGGGGCGGGGCTCGTGGCCGATCTTGCGACCTTGCCGCTGTCCGATGGGGATTGACTAGCCTCTGTTGTCCTGGGTGCTGCTGGTCTGCATCTATTATCAAAGAAAGCCGGTTCCATGTGTCTAGTGCGGGGTACCCCAAGGAATACTCCTAACCTCCCCCAACCAACGCGTCTCTGTCACTTGCGTGTTCCTCCAATGAACCATTAAAAAAACCAAATGCCGGCAGTAGTGAGGACAGCAGTCCAAGTAGGAAATCCAAAAGGAAGACCAGGGCCTTCGGCAACCATACACCACAGCAGCGACGCACCAGGAAGAGTTGCAACAGCTGGCTGAACATGGCTGAAAGAATTTGGCATATATACACATATCTATGTATATACATCTCCATCTACATATATAGAATACAGATGAACCAGCCTTCAGCCATCTTCATGCGACCACTGCCACGCGCGGAAATGTCCCTTGCGTGTTTGCCCTGGTTTTCGCTTCCCCCTTCTCAGGTTTACGCGTGGGTTGTTTGTTGGATGAAGGCTTGGTTGTGATTCGTCACCCCGACCGTGCACGGCACGCACTAGCAGGGTCGGCACAGATCCATCACGCTGAGGACACTTGATTCTATCCCGCTTCCTCTACAAAGAGGCTGAAGACGAGGTGGGTTTTGCAAGCGCAAGCCTTTAGTACTTACACAACCTCAGATTGGCAAAGCCTTGTAAGGATATGGTTAGGTGCTTTGTATTGCAAATATAGCGCGTCCTCAGTACAATGTTGATTTTCACCTTTCCCGGCAACGTCGAATCCTAATTAGTGCAATGGGAAGGAACAACAAAAAGTGGTCGCCAAACTATCCCACACCCTGAACACTGGGAATAATACAAATAAATTGCCCGGGTGTTTTTTTGTTTACGTTTCTATTGTCCTGCTATTGCGCATCTTAAGAATCCCTACTTAACTCTCCTGAGGTTTGCTTGATTCATGGAATTCTGACCTGGAAATCGTGTTCAACAACGCTTATTCAAACTGAACGATGTCATTTCTCCAAACAGTTTTTCAAGGGGGTAGTGCACAAACCCAGGGGAAGTTGGGAACAATAAAGAGTTTTTTGCACCAGGAAGTATTTCCACCACCACCACCACGATTACTACTACTACTACTACTACTACTACTACTACGTTAGTTTGGAGAGCAAACCCGCGCAAAGCTAAAACATCGATGACGCACAGTTTCGGACAAGAGGATGCCGGCTCATTCCAAGAAATTACTTCGGACTTAAGACTTGAGAATTGTTCCATTCATGCAGCATGAATTCAAATTGCAAGCATGTCAGTCAATAGTTGTTGCAGTTTTGTAGTTGTTTTTTGGATGACTGCTCACGGAATTGCACCACAGTTCAACAGCCGTCCCAAAAGACAGTTTGTACTTGTATGTCGTGTTGCGATTTTTTCTATGATAGTTTAGATGACGTTGACCGATTGTTTCCATGTTTCACATGTTGAATCAATAGTCAACAGGTAGATGCAGAGGATGGTAACGAAGTTGACCGCCCTCGGCGAGTGTCCAAAATATTCAAAGAAAAGGTTCAAAATCTGAGAGAGATGTGCCTTGGTTGTATCAAAGGACGAAGCACTGGCGCTGAAGTTGTCCGTTGTTTTTGTTTGGAGTTGTCGTTGTGTCTCATGGGAACAAGGGCTACGATGTGCAGCAAGAAAACGAAACAAACACATGCTGACATGCTGATTGAAAGTGGACTGCTTTAGGTATGGCTACAAGCCGCACACAACGCAGGAGTATGACGACCTCACAGACCAGATTCGGGAGGAAATGGCAAACCGGAAGATTGTGGTTACACGAACCGAATTCAATCATTGGCTGTCTACGGAGAAGCCATTGCTTGAGACCTTGAATGACGCCGAAATTGATTTATCGTGCAAGTCTGATTTATTTGATGTCCTTGATGCTGACCTGAGTGGGGAGTTAGAATTTGAGGAGATGGTTGACGGACTATTGAAGTGCAGAGGTCCTGCGTCGAAGACAGATATCATTGCCATCCGGCTCAAAACACGTTTGCTAGTTCGCCTGATGATCCGGATCTGTGAGAAGTTTGACATTGACGTATGATGTCGTGAGCGGCGTCCAAAGTGTTTCATAGGAGCGCTAACATCTCTGCAGGATTTAACGTCCCTTGACGATCTTTCAGATCAAAGATTGATTTACTTAAATTACATCACAGCATTGAAATGATTCAGGGAACGACCTGCTTCAAGTCTTCTTTGAGTGCACCAGAGGCATCCTCGCTAAAGTTGAGGGCGCCTCAAAGAGAGCGAGAAGATAGTGTAGAGAGATCTGCAAAGCAGATATCCAAGAGATCTCAATGCGTGAACCACGCGGATGCAAAATGAAAAAATTGCGCTGCCTTGTGACAATTTGAATAGCTGTTGCCGCTGCCCACTTCCATCTCACTTCAAGCCAAACAAAGCAGCAAACAGCCAACAGCCAACAGCACTCTTTTTTCAGCAAGCCTGCCGATAGTTTTGTAAAGTAAACGATCCCACCAAGAAAAAGGACAACGTACCAACCAAGCTCAACAGGGTAGTGAGAGTAAAAAGAGGTCGCTGCTAGTGCGCAAGGAACTTTAACTAGTAATACAGTTCTCCTCTTGAGTCCGGGTAAGTTACGGCGCATCAATCTTCCTAGCGATTGTTAGGGAAACCTTTTGCTTGCAAACTAAGCCGACCTCAGCTTCATAGTGCGTCGTGAGCTTGGTTGCCTTTGCTTGGCTCCGCTTACATGGCCACAAGAAGCGCACTGGTGGCGGCAGACCGTGTTGCCATGTTCCTTGTTGCCAACTGATCCCTGTGCACGAGCTTCTATAAGGATTAGGATTGCTTTTGTTGGGTATTGATTGCTTCGGTATTGATTGCCTTTAGAGTTTGCAACACAGATAGGTCCCGTCTCTTGCTTCCCTTAAATGATGTTTCATGAGCAAAAGGGTTTGCTTCCACAAGCAAGGCCTAAGCTAGTAAAAAATGTGGAAAAATTGTTGGAAAATTTGCTCAGCCTTCAAATCCACCCCAGCATGGTAGACATGTTGCCATTCATTGAGCTCCCCCAATTTGAAGAGCTTTCGTTTTTCCCCACATCTTAGTGTGGGGTTCTTCTTTTCTATCTCTCATCCCGCCTCCGGCCGCCGCCGCCTCCCGCCACCGAGACAACACACACCGAGACAACACACACAGAGATCACACACACAGAGATCACACACACCGAGACAACACATACCGAGACAACACACACAGAGATCACACACACCGAGACCACACCGAGACCGCTCCGTTAGAGGGTCTGGTGGTTGCGTGGTCGGCTGTGGTCGGCTGTGGTCGGCTGCGGCGCTGTCCTATTGTAAATTGCAGTGAATCTCGTTCCGTTAGAGGGTCTGGTGGTTGCGTGGTCGGCTGTGGTCAGCTGTGGTCGGCTGCGGCGCTGTTCTATTGTAAATTGCAACGAATCGCGCTCCGTTAGAGGGTCTGGTGGTTGCGTGGTCGGCTGTGGTCGGCTGCGGCGCGGTTCTATTGTAAATTGCAATGAATCTTGCTCCGTTAGGGGGTCTGGTGGTTGCGTGGTCGGCTGCGGCGCTGTTCTATTGTAAATTGCAACGAATCGCGCTCCGTTAGAGGGTCTGGTGGTTGCGTGGTCGGCTGTGGTCGGCTGCGGCGCTGTTCCATTGTAAATTGCAACGAATCGCGCTCCGTTAGAGGTTCTGGTGGTTGCGTGGTCGGCTGTGGTCGGCTGTGGTCGGCTGCGGCGCTGTCCTATTGTAAATTGCAATGAATCTCGCTCCGTTAGAGGGTCTGGTGGTTGCGTGGTCGGCTGTGGTCGGAGCAATCTGTGGAGCTGGAAGCTGAGAACTGGCGACTTTGTAGTACAACTTTAGTACGTGGAGTAGCTGGGGAGCTGGAAGCTGAGAACTGGCGACTTTCCAGTACAACTTTAGTACGCGGAGCAATCTGTGGAGCTGGAAGCTGAGAACTGGCGTTAGAGGGTCTGGTGGTTGCGTGGTCGGCTGTGGTCGGCTGTGGTCGGCTGCGGCGCTGTCCTATTGTAAATTGCAATGAATCTCGCTCCGTTAGAGGGTCTGGTGGTCGGCTGTGGTCGGAGCAATCTGTGGAGCGGGAAGCTGAGAACTGGCGACTTTGTAGTACAACTTTAGTACGTGGAGTAGCTGGCGAGCTGGAAGCTGAGAACTGGCAACTTTCCAGTACAACTTTAGTACGCGGAGCAATCTGTGGAGCTGGAAGCTGAGAACTGGCGACTTTGTAGGACAACTTTAGTACGCGGAGTAGCTGTGGAGCCGGAAGCTGAGAACTGGCGACTTTCTAGTACAACTTTAGTACGCGGAGCAATCTGAGGAGCTGGAAGCTGAGAACTGGCGACTTTGTAGTACAACTTTAGTACGCGGAGTAGCTGGGGAGC